AACACTGATCTCTCCATTTGCTGTACAGAGGTAACTCATGGTTGCTGTGATGCCAAACACTGTGACACTGATGAGTCAAATGTGATAGTGGTCACCATGGTGGACGGTGTTTGGTAGAGCTTTGCAATTAAAGCAAGCATGGAAGCAGGAGTGGCATCCACTTCCAAAATGGCTTGCCTCTGGAAATACTATGAACGTGGAGAAACAACAGAAGTTGTACAAGTGTTCAGATCCTTCGTTCATAGTGTCATGATGAGTCATCTACAACTTGACAGCAATTAACAACAGTAACATATAAATAACTTATAACAGTGCCTGACTCATTATGATAGTGCAAAAGTCAGAATCTACATGAGGTAAAAACCTATCAGATAAGGAGAATTCTTTTCCACTAACAGAGCATGCTAGAAAAGTGGCAAAGAAAGAATACTTTCAAGACCTGGAAAATAAGGCAGTCTCACCCGATTTTTACTCACACAACTTTCACTGTACTGTAACTTTCAAGTCTATTTAGCCCAGATCTCATTAGCATTCCCTTTTACCTCCTCCCACCATCCAGTCCCACTGCCACTCTGTCACTCTCAGGTCTTTGGATCAGCCTCATGTGATATAGGATAAATGAACCAGGCAAAGCACAAGCCCTCCTTGCACTCCCAGCTTTCTTTACTTCTTCCTCTGCCATTTCAACTCCTTTAAAAATTACCCAATTAAATACTCTTTGTTTTAAACATCTAGTGAAATTACTATCTTCCTAACAGTGTCCTCACAAACACAGCCTGAATATTAGTTTAAACAGTCTGCTAGTTTGTTACTTTACCTCTGGTTCCCTTTTATTCCAATCTACATCATATATCATTTCCTGATTAACCAACTGAAAGAAATATTTTGTTTATGTTACTTACACTCTCAAAGTTTTTTAGGACTTCTCATAATCCACAGAATTGAAAACCATTTTTCGTTATGGTAGATGAACAGAACTTTGCATTGATTGTTGAAATTACTAAATTCACTGATTCAATTTCTTTGTTCTAGGATATGTGGGCTATTCTTTTTGTAGAACATATATATATATTTGGGTGCATCTGATTTAGGCCACACATGGTCTTTCCAGTCACTTCATCTGAGAGCAGGACAATGAATAAGGTGTAAGAAAAATGGATGCCTTTCAGCTGTGGCATTGCAGAATAGTATTGATATCCCGTGGACGGTCAAAAGAACAAACAAATATGTCTTGAAGAAGGTGCAGCCAGAGTGCTCTTTGGAGGCAAAGATGATAGAGCTTCATCTCACATACTTCAGGTACATTGCTAGGAAAGGCTATTCCTTGGAGAGGGACATCATGATTGGAAAAGCAGATGGTCAGTGAAAGAGAGGAAGACAGTCAGGTGGATTGACATGGTGATGGCTAGAATGGGCTCAAGTGTGTCAGGAAGTGTGAGGATGGTGCAGTGTAAGACAAAGTTGAGATCTGTTGTTCAATGGGTTGTGCTTTATAGGTTGTGCTTAACTCAACAGTGATAATAGTATCCCACATCCACTAAAAATTGTATAATGTATTTCTTTCCATCCCACCAATATGGCAAAGGCCACATTCATGGTCAGTTGTTAATATGTTGTTATTGCTGTTATATGCTGTCGAGTTGCCTGCAACTTATAGCAACCCTATGTACAATAGCCCTAAACCCTGCTCTATCCTGTGCCAATCTCACTGTTTCCAACATGCCTACAATCATTACCCCAGTCACTGAATCAATCCATCTCATCGAGAGTCTTCCTCTCCTGCTTTGTCCCTCCACCCTCCCAAGCATGACGTACCTCTGCAAGGACTGCTCCCTCCTTGTAACATGTCCAAAGTATGTCAGATAAAACTTCAGAATCCTTGCCTCCAAGGACTAGCCTGGCTTCACCCTCTCCAGGATGAACCTGTTCATTCTTTTAGCAGTCCGTAATATATTCAATACTCTTCTCCAGCACCACAGCTCAAAGGCATTAATTCTCCCTCTATCATCCCTAGTCATTGTCCACCGCTCTGATGCATAGCAAGTGATTGCAAAACTATGGCATGTATCAGGTGCACCTTAATCTCCAGACTGACATGGGTTTAAAAGGAAGTTACAGCATAGATAGCCAAGACATCTACATATAATAATGACTGTATCCTATTTGAATCAGTAAGTAGGGAAAGGGGCATCACAGACTATCAATGTTTTGTTATTAAGAGTCATTAAGTCAGCTCTGACTCATTGTAACCCTATGGGCAGCAAATTTAAATTCTACCCAATTCTGGGCTAGCCTCACAATTTCTCTTGTGGCCAAGAACACTGTTGTAGTTATTTGTGTCAATTCATCTTATTGAAAGTCGTCCTCTCTGACATTCAACTTGGTGTTTTTTTTCCAGGGACTGTCCTTTCTTGATAATATGCCCCAAGTGTGTGGAATGAAGTCTACTAATTCACCCTTCAAAGGGTCACATCGGCTTCACTTTTTTCAGAATAGATATTTTTGTTCTTTTGGAAGTTCATGGGATAGTCAATATTTTTTGCCAATACTACAGCTCAAAGACATCACTTCTTTGATTTTCATTATTCATTGTCCAATTTTTTCAGATGCATATGAAGACATTGAAAATATCATGGTTTGAGTTAGGCTCACCTTAGTCTCTAAATTTACATCCTTTATCTTTAGTACTTTAAAGAGGTCCCTGAGAGCAGCTTTGCCCCAATGTGTCTTTTGATTTTTCTTTTCTTCTACTTCTGTGGGTGGAGATTATGGAGCCAGGTAAATAATTAAAGTCTTGACAACTTCAATCTTTTCTCCATTTATCATGGTGTTGCTTATTGACCCAGTTGTGAGGATTTTTGCTTTCTTGATGTTGAAGTACAAGGTCTCAATCTTTAGTAAGTGCTTCAAGTCCTCTTCACTTTCAGCAAGCAAAGTTTTGTCATTTGTATAACATAGGTTATTGATGAGCCTTCCTCCAATCCTGATACCACATTCTTTATATAGTCCACTTCTCAAATTATTGCTTACAAATATTTACAGAATAGTAATGATGAAAGAATACAACTCTAATATGTACGTATTTTGAAATGTGTATGTTAGAAATCATGCAATATCTACTTGTTCTTTTCAAATGACTGTTTCTGATCTATGTGCAGACTCTGCTTGGGCACAAGGCAATAAAACTTTTTTTTTAAAAAAAATCTTTGTTTTCAATCACTAGCTATCTTCTTCTTCTTGTTAGATGCCATCTAGTTGAGTATGACTCATTGTGACTCTATGAACAACAGATCTGAATGCTGTCCTATCCTGTGCCATCCTCACATTCTCTGACACACACAAGTTCAATGCTGCAGTTACTGTGTCAATTCACTTGAATCTTTTTTTCCTTCACCATCTTTTCATCTCTCCAAGTATGATGCTCCTCTCCAAGGAATAGACATTCATAGCAACGTGCCCAGTGTATGTGAAATGAAGCTTTATCGTGTTTGTCTTCAAGGAGCACTCTAGCTGCACATTCTCCTAGACATATCTGTTTGGTCTTTTGTCAGTCCACAGGATATTCAGTACTCTTCAGCATCACAGTTCGAAGGCATCTTATTTATTATCCAGCTCTCAAATGCATAACAGTGACTCAAGTCAGTGAAGATTTGCCTAGTGTCAGCAATTACATTCCACATTTTACAGCCTCTTTTTGATACAACTTTAATTTCTGGAAGTTCTCTATTTATGAACTGTTCCTCTTATTTTGAACTAATGTGCAATAATGCACAATGCCACTATTATAAAACAGGACTGACATCTGGGGTGGGGGGAGCAACTAAGAAAAGATGAGGTAAATAATGTATACTGCATTGAAACAGATGAGGGAGAGAACTATTTAAAAGGGATATATGATTAGGTATTATTTGCATGACAAGAGTCCAGAATAAGAGCTGCATAGTAAAGTTGACTGGGGATAGTGGGGATTGTATAACAATGAAAGAATTGTTGGGTTGGTGTTTTTTTTTTTCTTTTCAAAGAGAAAAGTGATCTGGGGGTATGGGGTGGGCAGGGAGGAAAATGTGCAACAATGAATGACTGGAAATCGAAATGGGAGGGGAAATGTTCAGAAAGACGTCTCTTGCATGGTATAGTCATGATACTGTTTGATAACTTCCACAGTTCTTTTGTTCACTTTCTTTTGAATGGACACAAATATGGATCTTTTCCAGTACACTGGCTAGGTAGCTGCCTCCAAAATTTCTTAGTATAAATGAATAAGCATGTCCAGAGTAGCATGTCTGTTGAAACACTTCTTTAATATTCTGTCAATTCCTGGAGTGTTGTTCTTTTTATTTTTATGTCAATGCATTCAACACAGAGTTCTTCACGGGATGCTCTTACTGTGATAGTCCAGTGTCAAACAATTCTTTCTGATATAGTGACTCGGCATAATCATTCCATCTTCTGATATTTCCCATATCATTCAACATTTTACCCATAGAATCTAGTAGTATTTCAACTCAAGGTGTCAATTTGCTCTTCAATTCTATAAGTTTAAAAAAATTCTAAACATGTTCATCACTTTTGGTTTTGCAATTTCAGGTCTTTGCATATTTCATTTATGTGAAAGTCACCTGGAACATAATGATGTTGTTGTTGTTGTTGTTATGTGCCATTGAGTCATTTGCGACTCATAGCGACCCTATGTACTCTCAAAAACCTTATCATCATATCTTAATAATGATGGTGAACAGAGTAACAGAAACATGTTTGATCAAGATAACTTAGAACAAAATAATGAGTATCATTGTCCACACAACCGCATGCTGCATTGTTAATCACGTATGATGCTCTGTGGTTGTTGTTAGGTGCCATTGAGTTCACTCTGACTTACATGAACCTATAAACAACATATCTGAAAACTCTATGAGAAACAAAAAGTGTTTTGATTCCACTATATCTATCTACAGAGTTTTCTTTTAAATCATGTCATCTTTTTCTCTACAATTACTTACCTCCAGCCTGAGTCTTTGGGACATCATGCCGATGTCAACGCTGACAAACACAATTCTATTTGACCCATCAGGTTCCGCCAAGATAAAGGCCCGACTGTACAACCTTGTGAGGAGGCCCCGTGCGTTCTGGCCGTATTTGCTATAGCCCATCTAAAAAGGTAGAGAAAATAAGAGAAGTATAATCATACATGAAATACCTACCCCTTAAGGAAAAAAAAAAAACAATCATAAGACACTGTGTCTACAAGTGAGATAAAATGTACGTTTTAGTAATGAAGCCAAATCACAAACGTCTTTCATCTTATGTGAAGAAACATATGAAGCCATCCTATTGAAAAGAATGACAGAATCTTTTTCACTGACCTTGAGCAAGGAGGGGGCAGGGGTGACTCAAAAATTTAATAATTATATTGGAAGCCTTTTGTGGTCTCTTTTCTTCCACATATTTAATAAACTACATCAAGAAATATTTTCCCTTCTCTCACCCACAGTGCCAGTGAATGTTCTTAATATTGAAGGCATCTTAATTTTAGTTGTTTGGGGAGGAAGGGGTTTCTGGGGGAAAAAAATCTCAACAAAATTATGATCCTTGCTGAGATTACACTGAGTTTTGCAATTGTTGTCCCTCAAATCAGAGGAACAACAATTGCAAAAGTTGTTGTCCCGTAAGTTAAATAAGATCAATTTTACCCATGCCTTTCTCTCATTATCAAGTAAAATCCAGAGTTGCACCCAGATCTTCAGAATATTCCGTCTCCTACTTGCTTTATTTACCCTGTCGGTGGTGAATGTTCATTTAGGTTCACATTCCACGGTCACCTTTCTAAATAGAGAGCAGAATAATTCCTAAAGAAGGAGAAAAGGCCCACCAGAGGCTTCAAGCCAAACTTATGATCTAGTTTCTTAGAGAAAGGTTGATAAGAATAGATATCTCCACCATCCGAGCAAAGAACTTATTTCCAAACAGCACTTGGATCCAGCTAACTCATTAACAAGTGTTTTATTTGGCTTACACACAAGGGCAAAAAAATTCAACTTACTGATAATGAGTTATTGGGTTGATAGCAACCTGCCATCAAAGTCCCAAGACTGTAAATGAAAGCAGACTACCCATCTTTCTCCCATGGAGCCCCTGGTGAATTTAAACTATTTGGCATGTGTGATCATTGGTTACAACACAACATGCTATAGACTATCCACCAACACTCAAGATTATTTTTTTATTTTATTTTATTAATTTTAACAAATGTTTACAGAGATTTTGGATCTCCATTCATTCATTGTTGCATTTTTCTCCCTGCTCACCCCTCCCCCCAAGTTCGCTCTTCTCTTTGAAAAGTAAAAGAAAAATTCCTTCATTGGTATACAATCCTCCCTCTCCCCCTCCCAAGTACTATAAGCTTCTTTAAGATGTAACTAGTGTCGTCTACATGTTTTTTAGCAAGAGGTTCAAATATTCAAGTGGAGAGATTTTTATTTTCTTGTTTCTCTTGGGGGGAAAAGGGAATTTTAGCAACTTTAAGTCCCCATTCTTACGTGACCACAATCAAGTAGGCTACTTTGCAGTGTCAAGTCTGAACCATCTCATACCTGGCTCTCCAGTGAACCATATTTTAGAGACTATAAATCTCCCTGAAAGAGATTGGCCATATTTCCCCAATGAGCAACTGGTGGATTTGAACTCTTTGCTTTTGGGTTGGCAGTAAAACTCCTTACCTGGTAGGCCACCCGAGCTCCCTGGTGTCACTATATACTGACCACTTCCTACTATTTTTTGCAAGCTGAGGATTTATGTTTATTTTCTTTATCAGACCTGGATTAGTAATTTATGGTGCCTGCCCATTCTTGGTAGAAGTTGAAAGTCTCAGCTCTGTCCTTTCTAGCCATAAAAAAAAAAAAAAAGCCAATGGAATTTACCAGGGAACTATGGATTAATAAAAGGTTATTCTCCTTCTTACCACAATATTCACAGTGCTAGACTTCAGTGAGGTTAACAGAAAAGCTAGACTATGATGGTATGATGATCAGAAATGAAGGAAGGATATAAAATGACTTATTTAGCAGTTTTCTTGAGAATCCCATCTTTAACCTACCAAATTGATATCTGATACTTGTCCTGTGCAGTCAGCTCTTCCAACACCAATGTGGTAGCCACTGAAGTTCTGGAAAAGGGGAGGCTCTGGAGTGTAAGTCATTGGAGGAATCTGAGTGGCATTGGGGCGCTGAGTAGTTGTGGGACTCTGAGTTGTTAAAGAGCTTTGGGTAGTTGTCAAGTCCTGGCCTCCAGAATCTAAAAAATAAGAATAGGTTATTTGAAAAATAAGGTTTTAACCCATTTATTTATTTGTGTTAGCTAACTGATTAGAATACATACATTCAGGTTCTTTAGGAACAATTTTTAGAAATCCTCTCCTATTTAAGATATGCAGCAAGAAACAGCTTCAGAAAACCATGTTCTATTCCTGAGCAGGATCTTTCTTAGACTGAAGTTGTTTTCAACCTGACAATCAAGCCTCCATCTAATGTCCTTCCGCTTCTCATCACAACCTATTCCCTGTCAAACTCACTTCCTTCCAGTCGCTAAGCGGGCTCTTTTGCTTTCAGCCAAACAAATCTAGAGTCAGGTCTATGCACACAACCTAACTCACCTGGCCTCTGGAGAAGGACCACCACCATGCTCTCCAACCACGACCCTCATTCCTTTCCTTTTCACCAACCTCCTCAGATCTGACCCATTTCTGTTGGTTTTAGATCAAGTTCAGCTTCTCCTCTCCAGGAAACCTGTTGTCTCTGAACTTTCCTTTTCCTCCCCACCACCTTTTGAAACTTCCATCTTTTATACATCTTAAAGCATACTACTTTTATTGACTCACCAAAACTAAAGTCACTGCCTTTGAGTTACTCCCAACTTAAAGCTCCGCGATAGCATGGAGTAGAATTACCTCTTGGACTTATCATAATGATAAATCTTTTTGGAAACAGATTGCATCATTCTGGTTGATTCAAACTGTTGGTCTTTTACTTACTAGCCAAATCTTTAATCTATTGCACTACCAGGACGCTTCGTTGCTATTAAGGCAGAATGGACCTATTGCTGACCCTCCAGCAGGTTTTCAGAGGCTGTAAAGTACGTAAGAGGAGATGCTCTTTTTTTTTTTTCTTCAAGGAGTATGGTAGATTCAAACTACTGACCTTCCAGTTAGCAGCTCAACACATAATACACATAATAATTCTGGTGGTGGTGGCGTTAGGTGCCATCAAGGTGACTATGGCTCATAATCACCCTATGAACAGATCTGAAACGTGCCCTAACCAATGCCATCCTCACCATCTCTGAAATACTACAACCCAGCGTTACAGTCACTGTGTCCTTTTGTCTTGTTGAGGCTTTTTCCTGTCTTCTCTTGACTTCTCACCTCTGCCTTGGGGGGAAAAACTATGATTTTTTTTTTCAAGGCCTGACCCCTCCTGACAGTGTGTCTAAAGTGTGTATTATGAAGTTTCACAATTCTTGTCTTTATGGAGCACCCTGGTGTACTTCACCCAAGACAGAGTTGTTTGTTCTTTTGTCAGTCCATGGATATTCAATACTCTTCTCCATCACTGCTATCTGAAGGTATCAATTCTTCTTCTGTCACCTTTATTCACTGCCCAACATTCACATAGGAAGTAATTGAAAAGTCCATGGCTTAGACCAAGTGTATCTTAGTCTTTAAACTGACACCATTATTCTTTAGCACTTTAGAGAGGACCCTAAGAGCAGATTTCCCCGGTGCAACACTTCTTGATTTCTTGACCGCTAATACCATGGATGCTGATTGTGGTTCCAAGTAAAAGTAATTTTCTGACAGTTTCAGTTTTCCTCCGTCTCTCATGATGTTGCTTATTTGTTCAGTGGTAAAGATTTTCATGTTCTTGGTGTTAAGATGTAATTCATATTGAAGGCTCTAATCATTGATTTTCTGCACCAGCTGTTTTAACTCCTCTTCAGTTTCAGCAAGTAACGTTGTATCATCTCCATTAGGCTGGTTGTTGATGAGTCTTCCTCTAATCCACATTTTTCCTCAGAGTTAAGATTCTCAAATTATTTTCTCAGCATACAGATTGAATAGGTAAATAGAGATATGATATATAGAACCTTAATGCACGGCTTCCCTGATTTTGAACCATGCAATAATCTTTTATTCTGTTCAGCAAAATCTTCTTTGTCTAGTTATAGGTTTTGCATGACCACAATTGAATGCCCGAAACTTCCATTCTTCTCAATATAAGCCACAAACATACAGTCAAATGTTATATAAATATAAACACAACCACCCTTCTGCTATTCTCTGCTTTTGGTCAAGATCCATTTGTATGTGTAGATACTGTTTCCCTTATTTTAATTATTCTTATATCATAAGTGTATTCCATAGTAGTATATGTGTGCTCAGTTAATGAATGGTTAACATGCCCAGTTGCTTACCCCAATACTCTTATATAGGACACAGAGGTTGAGGTTCCATCAGTAATCCTTGGGTTCAATATTTCTTTGAGAATGGCCAATTTTGAAAATGAAATATTTCAAAACCTTAATTCATTTCCAACATAAGAAAAATAATTAAGAAGTGTGCAATAATCTAGCAATTCTTTAAAACTCAGGAGGTGTAAATTAGTGTAATAACACAAGTAACACTAGAGGGCCAATAGACCTCACTTCATCAGAGTTTCATACATAATTTAGTTGATTAGTGGAAGTATTCTGCTTTGAGATCCCTGCACTAAGCTGTATAGTTGGTTATTTGCCATTCAAAAGCCTGTTGTTTTGCCATCTGGAGAAAATAAGGCCAACAAAGCTGTATAGAAAAACAGAAGTGCCTTGGAGAAAAACCTTGTTGACAATCCTCGAGGAATCCTTGGCTGTGGCTCAATCAATGGAAAACCCAAAGACAAAAAGTGCAAGCAGAATGCCTGTAAATTGGCTATTTGGGAACCAGGGTGACCTTGAAGGAGGTGGCCATCACAAACTCCTCCAGTCCACAGGACACTGTCCAGTTATCAGCATAATAAATGTACACTGTTTATGCCATTGTTGACTCTCCCCACAAATTAAGACATTGCCTGTGAACCTACAAATAGCATCTAAGAGAGTCCATGACACTTGCCTTTGTGGTTTTCAATGGTCCCGCTGGTGATAAACAGTAGGCTGAGAAGGGCAACAGTGATTGCAGTCATCATCACAAGGAGGAAAATTAAAAAAGACTCCAGTGTGGAAAAGGTACGCTTGGCCATTTCTCCTGGACTAAAGCAAGCACTGGAAAAGAAGTATGAAAGAGGAGGAATTTAGAATCATAAATAAAAATGCATATGCCTCAAGTGGCCCAATATTAAGATGTCTTAGCCATTTCCTAATAATAGACTGTACCATGGGCATTAAGCAGAGTGTACTTACTCAAAGTTCTTTATCCCAAGGCCATGGTAAACCAGACCAACCAATTAGGATACTTTTTGCTGATAAGCTCAGTGGTGTTATCTGGATCCTCAACTCAGAACTCCTTCTGGTAGCAGTCACCACCATTAGCTTTAGTGATTAAGTTAAAATCTGTTTTCATCATATTGCTTTAATTTATGAAAATAACACTGTTGAGGTGCCATTTGTACACTAGAGTGTGATGCACCCACACTGCTTATACTTGAGAGACGCCTGGCTAGAGTCAGATCTATGTGTGTGGTCATGGACTAAAATTAACTTGTCCACATGGAGATAAAACCCCTAATTTTGGCTTTTAAACACTGTGTTCTAAGCTTCTATTACCACTTCATGTGAAAATGGCATGGACAAGACAATTGACATCTCTGGTCGCAAGCCAAGCATTAGAAAATTTTCCTTTTTAGTAATTATATGGACGCTAAACATTTAAAATGATAAAAGCCCCTTATATCAAGGAATGATAATAAAGAATGTCTCCTTGTCTTACAGAAATTGTCTTATAGATTCTTTAAGATGTTTTAGAAAGGGAATTCCATCAATACTCTGAGAAACTAAAGAAGCTGAAAATTTACAATAAGAAAGCAAGCCAAGTATAAAACAGTAGATAAAACTGGGTTGTGATATCTCAAATCTCAATCTTACCACTCAGTGGGTGGCCTTTGGAAATTCTCCCTGACACTGAGTCTCAGTTTTCCTGTCCATGAATGAGAAAGCAATGATCATAATTTTTGTATATATCTCATTGATTTTTTACAAAAGTGAGATTTTTGTCACTAACATACTATACTTGTCTTCTGTAATATATTGCTGTTGTTAATTGTCATTGAGTTGAGTGAGACTCATAGCAACTCTTTAAACAAAAGACCTAATGTCTTTCCATTAACTATGGTCATTTCTCCAAGTTCATAGAGTTTCCAGAGGCAAGTGGTTTAGGAAGTGGATGCCACTCCTGCTTCCAAGCCTCCTGTTTTACAACTGGGAACTTATTTTGTACACACACACACACACACACACACACACACACATATAGCTGAAATATAGTAGACGCTCAAAAATGTTAGCATTTTTTTCGTTAGGCTTCAAGATACCAAAGAACATACTCCTCTCTATTCTCTTAGTTTATAGCAGTGTTAAAGAGTCATTGTCAATAAAGATGGCATTTACAAAGCCCAATTACTTAAACCATGTTTATATTTTAGAAACTCTTAATAATTAATCAAAAGATAAATTGCATTGGGGAAGTCTGCTGTTTAGAGGCCTCTCCAACGTGCTAAAGAGCAATGATGTTAGTCTAGAGACCAAGGTGCACCTGATCCAGGCCATAGCAATTACTTGTTATACATCAAAGAACTGGACAATGACTAAGAATGACAAAAGAAGAATTGATGCCTCTGAGTTGTGGTGCTGGAGAAGAGTCTTGAATATTCCATATACTGCCAGGAGAACAAATAGGTCTGTCTTAAGGTGAAACCAAGTTTCTCCTCGGATGCAAGGATTTTGAAACTCGGTCTCATATATTTTGGGCACAGGCCAGGAGGAACCAGTCCTTGGAGAAGGACATCATGCTTAGAAAGGTGAAGGGATAGCACAGTAGAGGAAGACCTCAGATGAGATGGATTGACACAGTAACTGGGGCAATGAGGTTAGGTGTGTTGGAGTCAGTGAGATCAGCTCAAGATAGGTCAGAGTTCAGAACTAGTGTATACAGGGTCACTATGAGTTGTGGGTGACTCGATGGCACATAACAACAACAATAATAATAATAATAATGGGGTAGAGTTAAAATTCCAGAACTCCCCCCCCCATTCTATTCAGCCATATGTGACAAGCTTGCTGCTTACCACCTCTAAGAACGATAGCTTGACAGCCAACAGAAATGATGTAAAATTTTAGTTTTAATTTGGTTTGGTTGACAAGATAGAAGATTTTGCCAAAAAAGAAAAGGAAGTTCAAATTTTCTTTTAAAATCTTTCCTAAAATATGACAACACTGGCCAGAAATTAATTGTGCCAAGAGATTTCCTAAAAATCAGTAATTGTTCTTTCTTTTATTTTGGAAATAGATTCTCAAAATGTCCATAGTCCCTGTCCAGTGGTATTCTGCATCTTAGCTACTGCCTGGTTTTCATAGTCATATGATTTTGCAATTGCAGTTAGAAGATCAGTCTAACAGCCATCACCTTAGTGGTAGGGTGGACTGGCAGTAAGTAAGGAAACAGATATCTTCCCAATGTTTCTGACTATTGGTGGGTCTTCCTCATCCACTTATAACAATCATGATGACTGCCTTTACCAACACGACAAGTAGGGATAACTTCAAATCTAGACCAAACCAAATTAACTTCATACCTTCCATAATCAGTCTCCAGGAGTTAGGAAACAAGATGTTGTTATGTGTGGTCGAGTCACTTGTGACTCATAGCAGTATCTCTGACTCTTGCCCTATCCTGAGCCAATTTCATTGTCTCTGACAAACCTAATCTCATGTCTCCAGTCACTGAGTCAATCTATCTCCTCCTAAGTCTTCCTCTCTTTCACTGTCCCACCACCCTTCCAAGTATTATGTCCTTTTTCAAGTACAGGTCCCTCCTGGCCATGTGCCCAAACTATGCCTCTAAAACTGTGATAATGCAAAGAGGAGGCTTGTTTATCATGAACTGATATTTCAGTAGTGTCATGGATTGAATTGTGTCACCACTTGGCTGGACACATAGTCAGTGATTCTAATTATAACATATTTATCCTGTCTATGACACTAATGAGGCAGGATTACAGACAATTGCATAATGATGTCATCATCCCCATGATGTGATCTGAGATGAGACAAGACAATCAGTTATAAAATCATTAGTTTAGGATACAATGTTCTTCATTAGGTCACATTTGTGCTCTGATGAAGAAGTTTCCCAGTGGTGTGTTTCATAACATCTTTTGTCTCTCAAAGATAAAAGGAGAGAGGACATGGGCAGAGAGGGGAGAGCTCAGTATCATCAAGAAAGAAGATAAGAGAGGAGTATATCCATCAGATCCAGGTCCCTGTAATGGAAGTTCCTTGATACAAGGACTACAGATGGTAAAGGACCTTCTTCCAGAACTGACACACAGAAAGAAAGCCTTCCCCTTGAGGAAACACCCAGAACAAACTGTGGCTGACTCTGAGAAGAATGGGAATCCCAGAACACTTGATCGTGCTAATGAGAAACCTATACTTGGACCAAGAAGCAGTCGTCAGAACAGAGCAAGGAAATGCTGCATGGTTCAAAATTGGGAAGGGCATA